TATTTCTTTTCGTTCCCCCTTTTTTCTCTCTTTTTAAATTTTTTTCCTATTCTGATTTCGAATTTTTTTTTTTCTTTTTTGGTTTCATGTGGCTGTTGGGATGAATTGTTGAATATTTGGGTTCGGACTTCTATGGTTCGAGCTTTCTGCTTCTTCTTCTTCTTCTCTTTTCAGCTAATTTTTCCTCTTTTCTTCGACAATTTAATCTAAATAAAAATTTAACTGATAAATTAATTTTTAACTCAAAATTCATTTACAATTTATTTTAAATTTAAGTTATAGGGATATTAAAATTAAGATAAAAATAAGACACATCAGATACTTTTTGTCACAAATTACTATATATCCAATTCTACCACAGACTTGGCGTATTGGTTTGTTACCATTTGCACCTTTGGTACCGCTGTCTCGATAACATTTTCCTCATCTATTGTTGTTGTTAGCATTTTTTCCACATTGAAAACGATTTCCCAATTTGCTCAAGTTTTTGTTCTCATGATTATAGCTTATTGAGTTTGCATAATTTGCTATTGGTTGTCTAAGATTTAATCGTTATAATTCCAACATTGAGTTGTTCCAATCTTCTCTCAAAACTAAGTAGCTTTGATTGGAGCTCAACCCAACTTATGCTCTTTTTCTCATTGATTTGACACACTGAAGGCTTGTGAGTCTAGTCCAGCCAAGATCTAAATGGTCAGCTATTTAAGTGATACTAGGTGACTTGCTAGTCCATAATTTTTAACTAAGTTATTCATTGTTTTCAAATACTTTTCCATCTTCATGTTGTCATTTTGCATTTTCACAAATTTTCTCTTGCAGAAAACCATACAAGATCTAGTTTTTACTTCAAACAAATCATTGATTGTATCCCAAAGTTGTCTAAAGGTTTCATAGCATATTAATTCTGAGGCTACAAGAGGTTCTATCAAGTTATAAATTCAACTAAGAAGATTTTGATCATGAGCAAACCATTCTCTATATTCTGGATTCACAACAACTTGAACGTCTTCTATTCCTCCAATAGTTAAGAAAATTAACAAATTATTTTTTGAGTTAATCAAACTGGACACTTCACAACTTTGTTTTTGATAGATGTTCTGATAACAAGAAGTTATAAATTTATAGAGCATGAGCTGCTCTTTACAAAGGAGCCAATCAACATAGGAGAGGAAACAAATAAGCAAACATCCTTATAGAGGATCAAAACTAAAAATGCAGAAAAGAAAAGGACATCAGAGTGCTTGGTAGGAAGGGACGATTACGGTTCTTCTTTTTCAGTTGTCGGTCATGCGTTTTTTGTCTTGAAGGTCAGTGTTGAATTGGATGACTGACTAGGATTTTTTGCTGATCTGGACAAGTTTGCACACTTAGTTGCATTGGATTGCTGATGGTGGCAATTAGAGAACAGAGCAACATTCTTCACATTCCCCATTAAACTTGTCAAGTGAAGCAGAGTTAAGAAAACAAGTTTTCTCGGTTGATATGAAAGTTGGACAAATCACAACAGCTTAGTTTTCATTCATAGTAATTTTGTTAGTGGTGGTGATACATTTATAGAGCTAAACAGCTCTTTACAGGTAAACAAGGATGAACACAAGAACAATAAAAGAAAAATAACAGACTTTCATTATCAATTAACGCGGAAGAAACCAGAAAATATATGCAGCTTTAACGGTTTTCAGTGAGGGACGATTTTATTCTATCAGGAGGATGATTGCATTCCAATTGTCGGCCATGCATGTTTGTCTGGGAGTTGTGGGATGAGTTGGCATGCTGACTGGGACTTTTCGCTGATCTGGACAAGTTGGCACACTTGTCTTCTTGAGTCGACTATTGCCAGTTGTTCTTCACATTCCCCCTCAAACTTGTTAAGGGAAGCGGTAAATGAACCAGTCCAAGTTTTTTCCTGAAATACTTAACCCGTATTTATAACAGAGCCTTGGTGAAGCAATCGATGATCTGATCGCATTAGGGCACGTATCTAATATCGGGAGCTCCTTTTGTCACTTTGTCGTGAACGAAGTGAACATCAACTTCAATATGTTTGGTTTGTGAATGAAAAACAGGATTGCTAGCGAGAATCGTGGTACTCATATTATCGCACCAGGCTATCGGAGTTTGTAGAGTAGTGATGTTTATCTCTTTTAGTAAGGACTCCAGCCAGGTGATTTCACAAGCAAGATGCACCAAGGCCCTGTACTCATATTCGAAACTTGACCTTGATACAACATTCTACTTCTTTGAACTCCAAGAGATCAAATTCTCTCCAAGATAGATGTAATAACCTGAGGTTGAGCGGCGATCGTCCTTTGAGCAGGCCCAGTCGGCATCCGAATACCCAACAATGTTTAGTCTGTCACTGGGTTTCATATGGAGTCTGACATCAGTCATTCCTTTTATAAATCGAAGAACTCTTTTCAAGGCTTTCATGTAAAGATCAGTTAGTTTTTGCATGAGTTGGCTAAGTTTGTTGACAATGGACGATATATATGGCCTTGTGTGAGTTAAATATTGAAGAGATCCTATCATTTTCTGATTAGAAGTTGGATCTTTCAGTTTTTTCCCTTCTCCAGTGGATAAGTTATTGCCGATTACTGTCGGTGTCGGACACAATTTAGCAGATAGCATGTTGCTTCTTTTAAGAAGTTCTTCAATGTATTTTGTTTGAGTAAGGAAGAGACCAGTGTCATCCCGTATTGCT